CCCCTTTGTGCCCCGCGATTCACACGTTCGGGCTTTTATCCGGCAGCCGGGGAGGAGGAGGAGGAGGAGGAGGAGGAGGGCGAAGGGGGCAGGAGAAGGGGGGGGAAGAAGGGCCAGGAAAAGGGGGAATGGCGGGAAACGCGGCTGCCTTTGTGTGACCGGGGGTGGGGACAGGGTCCAGGGGACATCTCTCCAGTGTCCCCCCTCTGAGTTTTGCCATCCCAGGGTGGACACCCACCAGCAGTGGGGCTGAAGGGCTCCACGGTCCCCCTGAGGGTTCCCTGGGCTGGGATGTCTCTGTCCCCCCCCCTCCACGATGGTGGGGCTGATCCCATGGGACGAGGAGCCCTGGGCACCACAATTCCACCAGGGAGCTGGTTTCGGGGCACTGCTCTTCATGGTGTCCCCAAACCCACCCTCCTGGGAGGTGGGGGGGGCTTTTGGAGTGGGTCTCTCTGGACCATCCCCAGGGATGCTGCGGAGAAGGTGGGCATCGTGATGCCCGCAGAGGGGACCCTTCCCTGGGCTCACAGGGTGCCCGTCCCCGTTGCCAACGCTCTCTCCAAGCCCAGCTGGGATCCAGCTGCCCTTCCTGAGACCCCCAGCTCCCAAAATCAGCCCCCAACCTGCTTTTCCCCCACACTGAGCTGCCTCCCACCACATTTTCCACCCTGCAGAGGAAATACTAAGCGGGATGGAGCTTCTCCCAGTGTGTTTTTTACCTTCTGTGGCCACGCTCCGTGCCAAGAGCCAGGAATTCAGCTTGGCCGGGGCCGGACTCCGCTTTCGGGGCGATGCTCGGCCAACGGGGAGATGGGGATGCCGAGGCCAGGGCAGCCCCAAGGAGCTGGGGAAGGGTCTGTTATCCCCATCCTCCAGTGGGGAAACTGAGGCACCGGCTGCCTGATGCTCCCCCCCCCACCCCGTGGGATGGTCCCGTAGGAAACTCGGGAAGCGAGAGCAGCCGACCCAACCTGACAGGGGGCAGAGGGCACCGAAAACAGCTCAACAAACCTCTGTGGCAGGGAACGAGCGGGAGAACAGCCCTTTCCGCCGCTGCAGAATGAGCTGGTTTGGCCAAATAAACAGATTTGAAGAAAAACAAAGGGATTTTTTTGCTGCTGGACAGCAAGGCGCCGGATGCCGGGCGCATTAAAATGCCATAATTTAGCTGCGAGGAATGTGCTGGATTGCAGCGGGGTCGGAGCAGCCCTGCTCTATCCCCGGGGCGTGCAGAGGATGCCGTGGGCAGCACAATTCCCTTTGCACCTCATTTATTGCTTTTCCAGCCTCTTTTTTTCCTCCTCCGCTGGGTTTCCCACTCCTTCCGCCCCCTTCCCCCTGCCTGGCTCAGCTCCTGCCCACCGCCAAAATCCCAAAATCCGAGGGGATGCTTGGCATCCTTGAGAGTCCGGCGTGGATTTCCCCCAGGGCCGGATCCTCCCAGCCCCAAACTCAGCACCAAACTTTGGCAGTAAAGCATAAAATAAGCATTGGAGACCCTTCTCAAGGGAAAACACGTGGTGTGTATCAAACCCACTGGGCAGGCTCGCAGGAAGGGTCTTATCACAACCAGATCATCATTTTATATATATATATGTGTCTATATTTATATCTGTACACATACATATATATTTAACTCCCCCAGCACTCTTTGGAAACGCATTCTTGGCGAGGAAAAGCACGTTGTGGTCAGCAGGGGCACCAAGTACCCGGCAGTTCAGCCTGTCTGGTGTTATTTGAAAAGGTGTTATTGAAATAATACCCAAAAAGTATTAGAGCACAAGCTGAGGTGTGCCGTGACCCCCGGCTGGGGGAGTTTGGGGGGCTCGGGGGGGCCTGAGGAGGCTCAGGGCAGGGATACTGAGCTTTTCCAGCGCTGAGATTCTGTGGGGACGATTGATGGGGTGGAAAGATCCCTGGCTGGGGGTCCCATGCCCCATACCTGGCTTGGATGTCACAGAATCACAGAATCTTCTAGGTTGGAAGGGACCTTAAAGATCATCTTGTCCAACTGTCAACCTGACTGACAAAAATAGACACCCACACAACAAACAAGGAGCATCATCACTAAACCAGACCTCCCAGCACTACATCAACCCGTCTTTTGAACACCTCCAGGGATGGGGCCTCAACCACCTCCCTGGGCAGCCCATTCCAAGGGCTGAGAACCCTTTCAGTGAAAAAATTTTTCCTAATATCCAGCCTGAACCTCCCCTGGTGCAACTTGAGGCCATTTCCTCTTGTCCTGTCGCCTGTGACTTGAGAAAAGAGACCGACCCCCACCTCTCTACACCTTCCTTTCAGGGAGTTGGAGAGAGCAATAAGGTCTCCCCTCAGCCTCCTCTTCTCCAGGCTGAACACCCCCAGCTCCCTCAGCCTCTCCTCATCAGACTTATTCTCCAGACCCCTCACCATCTTTGTCGCCCTTCTCTGGACCCGCTCCAGCACCTCAATGTCTTTTTTATGGTAGGGGGCCCAAAACTGGACACAGCCCTCAAGGTGAGGCCTCACCAGTGCCCAGTACAGGGGGACAATCACCTCTCGGGCCCTACTCCCCACGCTGTTCCTGATACAGGCCGAGATGCTGGTGGCCTTCTTGGCCCATGGGACATGTCCCATGTCCCACCCCGGCCAGGTTCCTGTCCCCCCTCACCACCATCCAGGGACCCCTGGGCAGCCCGGAGGAGTGGGAGCCGGAGGCTGGGATGGGGGGGGGATGGTGGAGCCCCGGTGGAGGGGGCAGCGGTGGGGTGGGAGCGGGCAGGGCTGGGAAGCCGGCGTCACGCAGCCCGGCACAATGAGGCCTTGTGGCCGGTGGCTGTGACAAGAATTGTCCCTGACAGTGGCTGCGCTGCGGGGTCACCCCCCCGGCACGGGGCCACGCCGTCCCCCTCCCCATCCCCGCTCCCCCGGGGCTGCCTGGGGAGAGGAACCCCCAAGTGACCCACCTCGGGGAACACCAGCCTTGAGAAATACCCATTTCTCTCTCCCTATAGATAAAGATATAAATATTAAGGTGGTTTCCAGCCCCCTGGCTGGTGCTGGTGCAGGGGGGATGTGGCACCAACGCACCGGTGCCAGCACCAACACCCCCCCGTGGCACCCGTTGGTGAACAACCCCCCCAAGCTTTTTGTAAAATAAAAAAAGAGATGCACACGCTACAAATACAGCTTAGTTTATAAAAAAAAATAAAAATGAAAAGTCACAAATTTGGTATCGTTATAACTTTAGTGCACATACGATGCCCCCCACCCCCACGGTCAAAAATCCCCCCCTGGCTGGCACGGCGTGTCCCGTCACCGGCAACCGGGCACGGTGGGACCCGGTAGCCACCGTGAGGCCACAGCCCCGGGTGACGGGTGACACAGCCCCGGGCTGGTGGTGATGGGTGACACAGCCTGACCTCTCCCCACTCCCACGGCACCTCCTTCCATCGGCGCTTTGGTCCTGTCCCAGCTTTGCCGGGGACTCCTCCTCTCCCCACGCCAGCCTTCCTCCCACCTCGCCATCCTTCTTGCTTCCTTCAGCCTCACTCCTCTTCCTCAGCATCCGCCCCACGGCTCCTGCCCGTGCCCCACACCGCAGGCAGGACCGGGGCACGGCTCACCACCATCCTCCTCCCTTTTCCACCCCCGACATTACAAATCCACCTCCTGGCCCTTCCTCACCCCACCGTGCCCACCGTGCCCCCAGCCCTGCCACCACGGCCACCCACCACCGAGCCCTCCCCCGGGGTGGGGAGGGGGGGAATGGCTACCCCCTCGTATCGGACCCACCGTGCCCCACAGCATCCCCTGAGCATGCAGCACCCCGAGCCCGCAGCACCCTGCTCCCCAGGGCGCCCCAACCCATTGCCCCACAGAGCTGCACCCCTCACCCGGGCAGGTCCCTGGGGACCACAGATGAGCGAGCGTGTCCTGGAAAAATCCATTCCCGTAGGGTTTTCCCAGGACCATTCCCCCTCCCCAGCCCGGCGACGGGGGCTGCTGGAGCCCGGCCACCGAGTGCCACGCTCCCTCCGGGCATCATCCCTGCCGGGCTGCATCCCCCCGGGGATGCTCTCACTGCCTTTGCGGGACCCCAGCCCCCCAAACACCCGTGGGGCCGGGCCGCCTTCCCCAAATTCTTCAGTCCACGGGGAACTCGCAGGGGTTCTGGCGCGTCCGCCGGGCCCCCTCGTAGATGCGCTGGAAGTCCCGGTAACGGGGCGCGCAGCTCAGCCAGGCTTCTCCAAAATGCAGCCACCCGGTGAAGAGGAAGGTGCCGGGGCCCGGTTTGACGCCGCAGCGCAGCGGGGTACGGATGCTGCCCCCCGGCCGCCCCCCCGCCTGGAAGAGGGGGAACTTTTGGCGGTGGATGCGGGTGGCGCTCACCCCGATGACGGATTCCTGCAGCTCCGCATCGTTGGAGACGCTCCGGATGCTGCCGCGGATCACTGCGGGGGGAAAGGGTGTCAGGGTGTCCCTGTCCCTGTCTCCATCCCTCTCCCTGTCTCCATCCTCGTCCCTGTCCTCATCCTCATCCACATCCCTGTTCCCATCCTTGTCCCCCTCCTCATCCTCATCTTAGTCCCCATTCCCATCCATGCCCCCATCCCCATCCCCGTTCCTGTCCTCATCCCCATCCCCATCCACATTCTCTGTCCCATCCTTGTCTCCATCCCCTTTCCCATCCCCTTCCCTATCCCCAAGCACATTCCCATCCACATCCTCATCCCCATCCTTATCCCTGTCCTTGTTCCCAAACCCATCCCCGTTCCTGTCCTCATCCCCATCCCCATCTACGTTCTCTGCCCCATCCTTGTCTCCATCCCCTTTTCCATCCCCAAGCACGTTCCCATCCACATCCTCATCCCCATCCCTGTTCCCATCCCAGTTCCCAAACCCATCCCTGGTCCTGTCTTCATCCCCATCCCCACTCATGTTCCCATCCACATTCCCTTCCCCATTCCCATCCCCGTTCCAACTTTTTCCTTACCCCTGTCCCCATCCCCGTCCCTATCCATGTCCCCATCCCCGTCCCCATTCCTATACTCATCCCTGTCCTCATCCCCATCCATGTCCCTGTCCCCATCCCTGTCCCCTTCCCACAGTGGCCTCTGTGACACTGATGGCTCCAGCCCAAGCCACCCCGGCCTGGGAAAGGGAGGCCAGGGCTGCCTGTGGGGCTGTTTCCCCCAGTTTGATTTTCCTTCCCTCCCCCAGAACCCCCCCAGAACCCGGTGGTGGGGGCTGCACTCACCAAAGTCACTAGTGCAAATGGCCATCAGGATCTCGGTGTCGTTGCACGGCCGGCACGCTCCTGCAATGGCCAAGCATTTGGTGACCCACCCCGGATCCGGACCCTCCACCCCCTCACCCCCCCGGCACAGACGGGGACACCCCGGGAAGGGAGGAGGCGCCATCCCTGGGGAAACGGAGGCAGGGCTGAGCCGGGGAGATGGGACAGGAGATAGTCCCAGGACACCCGTCCTTGGGCAGCTTATGGGGAAAACACCCCCAAAGCCCATCCCAGAGCCTGAGACATGTAAGTCTGATGAGGAGAGGCTGAGGGAGCTGGGGGTGTTTGGTCTGGAGAAGAGGAGGCTGAGGGGAGACCTCATCACACTCTATAACTACCTGAAGGGGGGTGTAGAGAGACGGGGGTTGGTCTTGTCTCCCAAGTCACAGGAGACAGGACAAGGGGAAATGGCCTCATGTTGCACCAGGGGAGGTTTAGATTGGATATTAGGAAACATTTCTTCACGGAAAGGGTTATCCAGCATTGGAATGGGCTGCCCAGGGAAGGGGTTGAGGCACCATCCCTGGAGGTGTTCAAAAGCCGGGTAGACATGGTCCTCAAGAATACGGTTTAGTGATTTTTTTATTGCTTATTTATTTTTTGTCAGAGTTGGGTTGATGGTTGGACTAGATGATCTTTAAGGTCCCTTCCAACCTAGAGGATTCTATGAAATGGGCACAGCCTCTGTGCCCGGAGAAAGCCCCTCGTTGAGAGGGAAAGGCTGGATTAGAGCCTGGGCCAGCGACTGGTCCTGCAGTGGCCGGTGCCACCGCCAGCGAAGGGCATTCCAGAGTTGGGTTGATGGTTGGACTAGATGATCTTTAAAGGTCCCTTCCAACCTAGATGGTTCTATGTTTCTATGTTTCTAGGGGGGCTCACCTTCTCCGGTGAGGCTGGCGGCGGGCAGCGCCGGGCGGGCCAGCCAGTCCCCCCGCAGCTCGTAGCGGAAGGCGGCGATGCGGCGGCTGATGTCGCGGTGCGGGGTGGCCTGCAGGAACAGGGCCACCTTCTCCCGGGGCAACCAGCTGAAGCAGCGGACGCGGGGCCGGGGGGCCTCCGGCAGCAGCAGCTCCAACACCCCTTCCCTTTCCAGGTAGAGCTGAGCCCCCCGAAAAGTGCCGGAAGGTTTGACGCAGGCGGTGACGTGGCGGGGGTTCTGTCCCTTGACGGCGGCGGTGGTGGGGGGCAGGCGGGGGTCCAGGCGGAGGCGAAGGGCCCCCGTGGGGTACAGCCACTCCAGCCAGCCCTCGGCGCAGTGCAGGGAGAGCTGCTCCACGCTGCCCGCCTCCTGCGACAGCCCGCTGCCGGGCACAGCGTACCCCATCAGCCGGGACCCCCCCTCCGGGTGATGGGG